ATGATAATAAATTGTACATATATATTTATATTTGTATTTTACTATATTAACTATGTGACTGGTTCTATATCTATGTATATGGATTTATGGAATATACAAGAAATGAATGGAATGAATGAAGCGCCACTAATTTCTGGTACTCTCTCATCAAATGCATGCTCCTACTCCTTCCTATGAGCATTTGAATTCTTCATAACTTTTCTATTTTCCACTAAAGCTCAATATATTTCCTTTTCTACATCTCGTAAAAACTATGGCTGTCTCACCCCCTGCACATTCTGCCTCACTTCAATTACATTTGCAGTTGAGTTCATTGGACCAATAGACTAATTGGAAGACAGAAGATTATTTGTCACACCTGAAAATAAAAATAACATTTTGTTAATTCCCTCTTAATTGTTTCTTACATGTGTAATGCTTATCATGTTCACGCTCTTCCATTAACCACAATCACATATACAATTACTCGACTCTTTCTAATACCAGCAATAAAATGATTTCCTCTTGCATTCAGACTCAACACTACCTGAGCTACTTTTGACCACTGGCTGGTTCCTGACTGTCTGAGCTCTCATCCGATGGATCTGCAATACTCTGCACGTCTGAAAATAAACCTGCCTTCTACCTGAAGACCATACATTTATAAAACTATAATTAGTTATGTACAATACACATTAATACTAGAAATACCGACAAATACATTTGCTATCAGTGTGAGGTGTGCAACTTTTAAGTACCACAAGATTGAAGGAAATCATATTTAAATCATTGNCTTACATAAATGTATACTGTCACGTGTAATTGGTAACTTGGATTCACTGACCACACACTGATCTTAACTACAAGTAACTACAGTGCTATCACCAACACACAATCTACAATTTACTACAGCACAAACTAAGTCTTCTCAGGCTGCTGTGTCTTCACTGGTTGTTCCCTGGTAATGGCTTTCAACAGCAGCTGTTCCCCTTACTGTGGGTTCACGAACTATCCCCATGCCTCAGCTACCAGCTTCTAGCACCAACCACTCATTAATGCCTTAACCTCAGCAGTTCTGATTGCTCACCAACTAACACATTTCACTCCACTACACTGCATTAACTGAACTCAGTCATGTGATATAGCTGTGGAGTGGGCCACATAGGAAGAAACTGCATCAAACATTACTTCCAATGTTGAGCGCGGGCTGCTGCCTCACAATGGTTGTTGTATTGATGTTTTGCGGTCATTGCCTAGCAATAGTCTACATGCTACCTGCAGGCACACTTCAGTATCTCATCCTCAAACCAAGATTTTCTGTATGGTAGGGTCTAGAACATTGACCTTACAGAATTAATCAACTGAGAGTCCCTGGTGGACCCTGACTTGCCAGGCACTACTGCATGGGAAGGCACTGATGATGGCTTAGAAGCCAGAAACATTATGATAAACTAATAGACTACAGAATAATTGCTGATGGTATTGAATTCTATTTAAGAATTAAATTAAAACTTAAATTAATTAAAAATTAAGGTATGGGAACACTTTTCTAACACCTTAAGAAATTTTGCAGGACACAAGATACGAATGAATATTATGAAGATAAAAAGTTCATAAATGAATTTTGATATGAAACAAACACCCTGATGAAATTCAGCTGTCTGCCATAATGCTGTCTAAGCAAACACAAAATACTTTGCATATTCAGATTTTTCCATGCAAAAATTGCTAATCTGTCTAATATGTCTCCCACTGAACTCACCACTCACAAAATTCATTATGCTTCTCATACACTTTTCACTGTCAATCCATTTATTTTCATTTCTACACATCTGAGAACAAGATTTCCGATTGTATGCACAGTTCAGGACGTGACTGTCCAGTATTTGTTGCAGTTCAAAATATAGGGAGTAGGAAAGCTGCACCCTTCATCACCCTACACATGGCTAGTTCCACCAACTCTTGTGTACATTTCCACACAGCCTATTACATGCCATTAACTCCGACATTTCGAAGAAAGCTCTTTAAAAGCCGAGATTGAGGTCACCTGGTTTCTAAGACTGTACCCTTGTTAAAAGGCAAGGCATTTTTGAAGAATATGTGGCCTGGGAAGAACTCCTTACAATATCTTCACATGTCTTGTGTGATGTACTTCAAAGCATCTGTCACATTTTTTACTGCACATCTTGCAGAAGCACAGTGCCTTGCCTCAATCTGTTTTACACATGACACAGATCACACACCCCATTTTCCTTCCTGTCACTAATATGTGGCTCTTCATTCAACCTCCAAACATATCGGCCACTTGATGGCCTGCCTCAGTTAACCTTTGCCATTCTTCAAACAGCAGTCTTTCTTTCGAGCACTGGGGATCTTACATCACTCTTCCTAAACCTAACTTAAAAAGTCTCTTACTGAAATGTTCCTGGAACAACACATACTCGAAGCTTGAACTCGCTTCTGGAAGCCACACCTTTTCCTGCATCACCTCTTCACTGTCCTCTTAAACAGATACAAGTGAGTATAGTAGTCACTGCTGCAGAACCTTCCAGCATGTTTAGCATAATCAGACATCTTTGGCTTCACTCTTGCTGCTTTGTTCAGATATTTAGAGGGCACTTACCCCACTTCATTCCTGCTTTTTGTGTGAAAAGTACTGAGATCTGCAGCAAAATGTTTGTCCTGCCATGCTACAGCAAATTTCTCATTGTCTCTGAATAAAATCAAATTCCTTTCCTCCGTTTTCATCAGTTCCCTTTCCGATGTTTAGGCATTCACTTTCTGGATGTCATTGCTGTGCCTTTTGTTACCGTGTCCATGCTCAGTAGCTCTTGAGCTAACAGGAGACACCCAGTACTTGGTGCTGTTAGCACATCTGGAAGGTTGGATGGTGTGGCCTTCGACGAGAGCTCAACCCCACTCTTTCACTGCTCGTAATCCTCACACCTCCAATAGGATATAGCGAATAGCACTGCAGACCAATGGTTACATTCAAACGATTTCTTATGATATGAAGAATCCTGGGTGTTAAAGTAACAGTGGGTACTTCCATTTTGCAGATTTCTGGTCCAATGAATCTTGTGCTGCTAAGGGTATATTCAAATAATAACAGTTCATAACAAAAACAAAAAACAACTAATGTCACATGTGACCTAATAGCAATATATGTTGGGGAAATTTTACACATTTCAGAACCTAAAGCATAATAATTGCAAAGCATTATTTTAAATTTGATGTAGCAGTTAATTTGGTGCAGGTATTTCAAATTCTCATAACTCAAAACAATGTCTTGTTGAATATTTGGACCGAAATATACTTTCTGCACAATATAAAACTTTACTCACCGCATTCTTGCCCCTTTCTCTGATTCATGTGTGAACCTACAAACCCATACAACAGGACTGCTACTATATGGCATATCAGGATACAAAAGCAACGAGTTTAACACTGAGGCAGAGCTATGTGCATTTTAAATAATAGATCCCAATGAGCCTTGTGTTTACCTCCTTGGTGCTTCGCATTTATTTCTCCCAATCTTTACTTTTGAAACCAAGTTTTGTTGAGTGGTCCTTAGAGAAGTGGTACGTGTGGGCATAATTTTGTAACATCATATATCAGAAAATTGTTTCCTTATCATTAGACAATTCTGGTGAGTGTTCAGATACTTGTGAAGAAGCGTTCTTGATATCTGGAATACAATTCCAATAAGTATTTTGCAGTGTGAACAAGAGAAAGACACATTTTCCAGGCTCATTTCTTGACAATTTAAATGTCACTGGCAGCTGAAAATGATCTATTGCAATTTTCAAAGTCTCTGTCATAACATCAGATTATCTCTTGTAATTCCAAAACTTACAGATATATCCTGAGACATTCTTGTAACATGGAAAGGTTTCCACATGCACACTGTATCCAATGGTCTGTAACAGCCTTCTAAAACATGCATTGCTTATAAACAGGTACATCTTCTACTTAATATATTGTACACTATCTGATGTGAAATCTCTGAATCCTTGTTTCCAACACTGTATTAACCAGACTGGGAGAAATGAAGGCTCATAAACACAGTTGTTGCCCATTAGAATAAGGGGTCATAAAAACAATAACGGATTAAAAGCAAGGTCTTGTTCTCAGAATCGCTAGATTTTTAACCTGTTTTACTTACCACATTGTATAAAACCTAATGTGATATCTATCAAATTCATGTTCCAAATATTGTATTAACATAACTGGAAGGAACGAAGGCTCATCCACACTGATGTTGCCTGTAAGAATAAGAGGACACATCAATCATAATGACAGCTTACAATGACTTGTTCTACATACAAAATCGTACATTACCTCACACGAAATCTCCAAATTCATGCCTCCAACACTGTGTTAACCTGACTTTGAGAAATGAAGGCTCATCCACACTGATGTTGCCTGTAAGAATAAAAGGTCACACAAATCATTATGATACTTACAATGACTTGAACTACATACAACATTGTAGATTACCTGACGTGAAATCGCTGCATTTATTTTTTGAGGATTGTACTACCCTGAGTGGGAGAATTGTAGGTTCATCAACAGTGGTGTCGCCCCTAAAAGAAAAAGATTATACCAACATTAATAATGCTTTATAAAGGACATATATAATTGACCACTGTACACTCCCTGATATGAAATGTCTAATTTCTTGGTTTCAACATAGGAATACACTGACTAGCTGCAATTCAGTTATGAACTAATTTTTTCATGCAAATAAGTTGTACCTACATTCCTGAAAGCTTATTGTGATTTTTTTTTCAACTGACCACACTGTACACTACCTGAATCAAAAATTTCCAAATGCTTTTTTCATATGTATTTTATCCTGCGTAGCAGCAATGAAGACCCATTAACACAGATGTTCCCTGTAAAATAAGTTGTATCAGCTTTATGACAGCTCATAAGGATGGATGCCTCTAACTGGCCTCCCTGTACACTACCTGATATAAAACTCAGATTTCAGATTTCCTAAATACTATTAAACTGATTGGCAAATATTAAGTCTCATAAACACCATTGTTACCTGCAAATGATGAGTGATAGGAACATTAATGACAATTCATAAAGATGACTTATTCAGCTCACCACACTGTACAGTACATGATGTGAAATCTGTGACTTGTGTTTCCATCATTGCATTAACCTGAAAAGCAGCAATTAAGACTCAACATAGTTGTTCCCTGTAAAATAAGACATGTTATCATCATTAATGACAGCTCATAAAGATGGATCCCTTCAGTTGACAAAAATGTACAGTACCTGATGTGACATTTCTGAAATCATGTTTCCAGTAGGGTTTTAATCAGATTTGTAGCAACGTTTGCCCATTAACACTGTTCTTGCCTGAAAGAATAAGAGGCCATACCAACATTAATCCTAACTTAAAAGGGACTTGTTCAACTTACCACATTGTACACTACCTGAAGTGACATCTGTGAAATATACGCCATGAAGGTGTATGGGGGAGTGGATATATAGATCCACATTTTCTTGATCTCGGCACTAGCTAGAGGTTGAGTGGTCAGCTTCAAGTCCCGACCGCTTCATCCCCGGGAAAGCCAACGTTAAGTTAAGGTAAAAAAGTAAAGTTGTCCCTGTGCTCAACAAATTTAAGCCCTATGCCATGAAGGCGTTTGNTTCATAAAATGTTGGGAAATTCTTGAGTAGCTGCAGATTTGACCTCTCAAGAAGGGCCCAGCTCCATAAGCAAGTAATAGGAAATCCAAATTATAGGTGTAGTCTAACACAAAGAAATTGGTTTTTAATTCAATGTCCGAGCGAATAAAATAATCGCGTTTGCACAATTTCTAATACTTCTTTTCCCCGACCGCTTTAACCCCGAGGAAAACGCCCCCGGTACCCATTGGATAGGAGGTTGGGTGGACACTAGGGCCGGTCTGGACGATTTAAAGAGAAAAGAAAATTCCTGACCCTACCGGGTCTCGNCCATGTGAATAATATCCATCAAATGAGAGGTTTGCTAGTGTGTCCATGAGGTTGTTCGGAAGGAAGTCATAAAAGCGAAACGAATCTGCAGTATTCTAACAGGTCCTGCCATGTTGAGTCACATGAATACGAAGACGTGGCATATGGACCAATGTCTCTGTGCGAAGTGAAACAGGGCAACTGCTTTATATCNTATATTGAGTAAATGAGATGAAAAGTTACGGATATGATACACCTGGTTTCAGATTGGGACCACTGGAGGGGGTAATGAACCGTGTGGTTCTTAAATATGCTGCAGTTTGTGTACCTGAGCGNTCTTATGAAAAGAATTAACGTCGTCAATGATCATTATATCTTACAACTATTTAAACATTGTACATTTAACATTAATTGAGCTGGGAGGGTTTGGGGGAGTGAGAAAACAGAGCTTGGAAAAAGAACGAATATTATTACCGAAAAGAGTGATCCCGTAATGATATGCTTAAATGGCTGAAACTCTGTAAGCATATTCTCTGCCTGCACATGTAANAAGATTCAGCTCCACGGCTTCAATTCATGAGCCCGTTTCTTTCAACGTGAAACTGAGTTCTTGATAGCTTGATAGACCTACACCCCAGACATTTCTTCTACGGGTCTCTTACACAATGCCGCTCTTAATGATAAAATGTTTCCATATAACACTTCAAATAAGAGGACCTTTCTAAAGTCCTTGGTTCGAAACATGCGGTGCCATACATGAAAGCAAGTCTCATAAATCCACGATTCTCAGAGTTACACTTGCACACTGGAACAATCTGGAAGAAAACCTGTATCCGCAGATGAGCCGCAACTGAACAAAGCGGAACCTGACATCTGCGTAGGACGCGTGTGGGCAGACTATATGATNAGAAGAGGCCTCCAACCCTAATACATCTCCATTTGTCACAAACGGAACTTACCTTGCCCAACCCGTTGCCGCAGACAGACTGACGTCCAACCCTAAGAACCAAACATGTCGGAACACGTGATCTACAGAGCAGAGTTGGGCAGAGAGGGGCGGGGTTCGAAACCGCAGGAACAAGAAATGAGCAGAAAATTTTGACGTCATATCCAACCTTCCTTCCTGTCATCTGTGAAGGACAATTCCGTTCGGTTCGCCAAATACTACCGAATTATGTATGGCAGATGTCGAAAGCGCAGTTGGTAACTTTGTAACCCATTACGGCCACAACATNCGGGTTTCATAAAATGTTGGGAAATTCTTGAGTAGCTGCAGATTTGACCTCTCAAGAAGGGCCCAGCTCCATAAGCAAGTAATAGGANACATCAATCTTGAAAGTGTTAATACTATAGGGACCGTGTGACCTCGTAGCTGTGCATGTACATTTCGGAAGTGCATATTCCCACCATATACAGGATAAAAACGGAGGAATGTGTTTATACAAAACAATACGCATATACCAGGCTCTACTGTGCCATTACTTAGGCCACAATCTGGTTCTTCATTACCAGGAAAACCTAAAAAATTGTAGTAACAACTGACGTATGATAATTTATGGTTGATGAACGTAGATTATAGGTACACATTCTTTATAAATATAATGTTGCAGTCCATAACAAGAAATTCTAGATATCTGTACAGCTGCCAGTATGGGCACCATGCGTGGTCCATCGACTATCCTGACAAAGGTTATTCGTGGTTTTCCTCAACCCGTCAAAGCTAATGCCTAGATAGTACGTCTCTCAGGCCACAATTGCTTCCTTCCAGATCCTTTCCAATTCATCAATCATACCAATCTACGCTATGCAATCCAGATGCTGACAGCACCGTAAAATTAACCACAAAAAATGTTGGAGGATTCCCAAAAAACGCCCTTTGCATGTCTTTTTGCCCAGACATGCAGAAGGGGATCGTGATGAAATCTGTCAAGTGATCCCAGCACAAAATCAATGTATTGTACACGTAATCTTGAAGATATTAGAATTGCACTTCGTAGTCTTATGTCACGTGGTATTCTAACCACACTGGGCAAGATAAACGGATTACTGTTTATCAGACTTTGTGAAATTACAACATGGTCCATAAATCGTTTAGTGACACAACACACTTCTTCCGTAAATCTGCTACCACCACAGAGATATGCCATCTCGCTTCATAAAAAAGCGCGGCGAGCTAAAGGCAGGACTGGGCTGAAACGTCGCGAACCCCCAGAATTAATTCATCGAACCGAAGTAATTTTATGTGCTCTTCAGGTAAACTGTGGTGAATAACCTCTCCAGCTGGTATACCAGTGGCGGCTCGTAGCTTTCTTATGTGGTGGGGGTAGTCACTATATTTAATTCGTGGAAATCGAAATTCGATTATATATATTGCCAATAAAACCATGTGCAATATATATGTATAGTTGTAGAAGTCGTGACGTGAAATTTAGATGAGGAAGGACGAAATATAGAAAATAATTGACTGTGAGCAGTGAGAAGGGATAGACTCGTCTTGTCATCAGAAAGGATTTCAATGAAAACCTATGCCCGCTTAGGCGAGTGTTTTAATGAGCGGCCGCAAAAAGCAAAAATCTTCCCTCACCCCGCTCCCTCCCTCCTCCTTTACCCTATCTCCTATTTTTTTTCCATTTTCTTTTTCACAAAAATCCTACTGGGTTTGAACCAAGGACCTTCTGAACACTAGGCTGATGTCTTATCCATAGACCACCAACACCGCAGAATATTGCTTTCTTCAATCTTCCTCTTATGTTACACCTCGAGCTTGTAATTCCAGAAAAAATCTTATTAAACCATTTCTGTTTTACAAAACTTTCGTTGGTCGCGAACCTCGGAACTTCTACTCACTATGCCAGTGCGTTACCAATAGGCCACCAATGCCAGGGAAATTTTTTTACCTTTAATCTTCCTCTTATGTTACATCTCGCTATATAATTCCAGAAAAATCTCATTACAAAAATCCTCGTGGTCTCGAACAACGGACCTTCTTGTTACAACGCCGGTGCCTTATCTCTAGACCACCAGAACATCTATGCTACCGCTTTCTGCGATCCTCCTCATATTCTATGACTTGGTTGATTGCTGCAGAAAAATCGTATTTATTTATTCACTTTTCAATTAATATTGACAAAAGACACCGTGGTCTAGCGCGTCCCAGTACTGCCAACAAGACAAATGTGGCGCTGCGAAATTTCAAGTGGGAAGTCCTCGAGCATCCTCCGTATAACCCCGACCTTGCCCCAAGCGACTTCCATTTGTTCGGCCCTCTTGAACATCATCCTTCGGCTGAACATTTTCCCGACGACGAAGCTGTAGAAAGGGATGTTACCGCCTGGTTCCGACAGCAGCCCAAAGAATTTTATGCTGCTGGTTTTCAGGGGCTTGTGATACGATGGGACAAGTGCCTCAATGTAAAGGGAGATTATGTTGAGAAATAAAAAGCATTTTTCAAATCAGTACTCTCATTTGTTTAAGTTCTATATCCATTTGTAACTTACTTATTGTCTTACCTACGTACACAACTGTACTTAGCATTTCAGTTCCAGTGATATCTCGAAGGAAGCCATGTAATGTATCAAATCGAAAATACTTGAAATAAATGGTGCAGGACTATAAACTGTCGAAATTACAGAGAACTTCAGCCTACGCTTTCCGACTTTTTCTTCTAGAACGAAAGGAACAGAACCAAGAATCTTCATTACATAGAAGAGAGGTAGAGTGGCTGAATATATATCAAAATGATGGGGCTTCATCTTCATCTCTGCTTATGTGACGTGCATTCCAGTAACAGGGATATAAATCCGCCTTGATATCCCATACTATACGTTTTATATAATCTAGGAACCGGGTGGCCCAGTTGTACCCCCCGGCATCGGGATTTCTTTTCGTCGCCTCCTACTTTTCGCAGGGCTACGATGGAGATATTCGGAGTATTTTTTTATGGCTAGTGGGGTGGGACTAAGTCCCTTGTACTGCGGCCACTTCTGGCCTATTGTACCATCCCAAGATGATAGGTGAGGGTAATCGTGGAGCAATTGGTGGATTGAAGATTGGCAGGGGAAACCGAAGTACTCGGAGAAAACTACCCCAGCGCCACCTTGTCCACCACAAATCCCACTTGACCAGACCCGGGATCGAACCCGGGCCGCCGCGATGAGCAGCCACTTCAGAGTCAAGAGTTACTTTACGACTGTCGGTTTAGTGCCAATCAGTTCACCTTGGCGCCAAGCCCTTTGTGGATCACAACCAGAGATATTTTTTGCAACAGAACCCTTGCTGTTATAGTCCTTACGTAACACGAACTCCGACGAGAGGATGGGTTTGTCTCCTATCAATGTGCTTGACCTTGGGAAGGTGTAAATATCGCGCATGTAGCATGTTACTGAAAGTTCTTCCTTTTGCACTATCGGGTCTTGTATAAAACACCGCGTTGCCTAGTAATGACTCGTTTGTTTGTTGACGTAACAACGTGTATACTGTGGCATTGCCTAGCAAAGGATGATGTCACTTGTTAGACTATTCCCCCCTATCACAATAAGACGTCACTTGTGAAACCTTGGTACAGGCGAGATGGCGGACAAAAGAAAACGCAGGGCTCCACATAATGAGGGGAGTCCCCTGACAGACGGAGCGACTGAGTCACTAAGGGTCTCTCTACATTTTCGAGTTATTACATCATTGCGAGTCGCGTCTTTCGAAGTCGTTAGTAGGATGGATCGATTGGACAGTTGTGGCTGATTTAGAGGGTCATATTTTCGCGTTTGAGAATGACCCGCTCCGAAAATCACTGCTTCAAGGGGTGTCGGATCCGTTGTGATGCAGCCTGGGATCAGTCAAGCAGTGCAATTCAAAACACATATCCTCCTTATGATTATTGAGGCTTGTTTCAGTTTATCGTTTAAATTATTGTTGTTTTATAGTTTATTAGAGCAATAGGTCGCAAATACTCCACTTGTTTTTCCAGAATATATAACCATTATTCCACTGGATTTCTTGTAACGATATTTTTGGAAAAGACAGTAAAAGAACACAGTACAGGCATGGATATTACTTGTGATACGGATGTACGTATTTCTGTGCTTGGAATGAGATTTAACTCATTACGAAGGCCACAAATGGGCCCAACTTGCTGTTCATGAATGATAACTGAGAGAACAGAGCATTGTTGGATAGAATTGTTATGGAAACCTCACGGTATTTAGATATAAACCTGTCTCAGTCTCACTTTGCCACCGTAACACCCGCGTGGACTGCGTTTAGATTGAACCCGAATCTCTTGAGAATTCAACGAATTGCCCAACCACTTTCTACCTCCCTCCTCCTCGCCAGTCTCAAAATTTCGAAACATGCATCTATTTTGTATCAGTTGTAAATAAATAGTTGCCACTATTAAAGTTCCAACACTCGTAATTCGAGAGTTCAGAAATTAAAATTTTCTTTTTAGATCAGTCTTCGAAATTCGAAAGCATTATCTCTCGAATACAAGTAAGCAGCCTTATTTCTCGAGTCTTCTTGTGTGGTGGGTACACTTCAATGTCGCGTGCATGATTCAGTTTGTCTTCTCACTACATTAGGTTTGTATTGACGCAGTGATTTTCTTTTCCTTGTGAAAAAACCCCGGGGGGGGAGACTTATTATTATTATTATTATTTAACTGCAAATGGGTTTTCACCCGGTGGCAGTAGTACTACAATAAGACAACAGACAAACGACACACATAAACACGTTCAAACAAAACACAGCACACAAAGGAGAAGTGAAGATACTAAAGCCAGGTTCTAAGGAGAATCTGATTCAGGGAGAGATAGTCTTTGGTGATCAAACTTCGTATTCCAGTATGGCTTAGACACACATTTCCAATGTTACTAGTGGAAAAATCCAATCTTCTGTACCGAAAATGGTGCGTTTGTTAAAATTGAAGATGAAAACGCAGTGCTGATCCTCCATTCATATGCATATTCATGGGCCGGCGACAATTCTGAAGCCCAGAGGAAGGGTTGGACGCCGCTACCAAGCAACGGCTAGTGAAGTCGTGACTGCAGACACTAGTGTCTATGTGTAACAGCGTACTGTAAAGTGTAGTTATGAGTCCAATAAATCCAATTACTAATCCAATCC